TTTGATGACGGAACGTGTCTCCAAGCAATATTAGCGCTGTGCTCTTGAAGTTCCGACACCCTATTCGCTACAAAGCAATGAAGTTTAGACGCGTGCATTTTCATCCACTGCAGCACAATTTTGGAGTCAGTCCAGAAATGTACAGTATTGATGTAAGAATCTAATTTATACGAGAATTTGCGCCAAGTTCGGCTTAATAGCACAGCAGCACAAAGTTCAAGTTTGGGCAATGAAAGTACGCGAGTTGGTGCTACCTTTGACTTCGCGACGAGTAAGCTGACCTTAACGCCAGTTGCTAATTTGGCGCGGACGTATAGGCAGCATCCATATGCTCTCTCAGAGGCGTCTGCGAAGCCATGTATGTCGCATATGTAATTTTTCGATGTGAAGACATAGCGTGGGACTTCGATCTTCGCTAACGCAAGTCTTCCGTTAAAGCCTTCCATGTGGTGCTAGAGTGTTCATCAATCGGTGTGTCCCAATTGCGTCCTTTTAGAATCAGATCTTGCATAAAGATCTTACATCGAATTATAATAGGGCTGATTAAGCCTAGAATATCGAAAATTCGGTCAACAACAGAAAGTATTGAGCGTCTTGTACACGGTTCATTGATTTCAACGTGGTAGCTGAATACAAAATTATCACCATTCGGTTGCCATGCGATACCTAATGCCTTTGTAACCTCATGGTCACCCAATTCAATAAACACTTCGTTTTCGGATGTGGGAGTAATCTCTCTACAATTGCTGCTAAATTTGGTGAGCTGCAGTCCGGCCTTCCGCAGCAATTTAACTAGTTCATTCTTTTTGTATTGCAATTCTTCTATTTGTTCAGCTTCCGTCAAGAGATCATCCACATAGAGATCATTGCGTAGCGTGTTAGCTCCAATGGGAAATTCGTCTTGATGCAAATCAGCGATATGATGAAGTGCTCTAATTGCAAGGAAGGGTGCAGCCGACATTCCGTACGTCACAGTATTTAACGTGTATGTTTCAATTGGGCTGGTTGGCGCAGATCGCCACAATATTAATAGAAACAGTCTATCTTGCTCGCTGACGACGAATTGGCGATACATCTTTGCTATATCGCCCGTGAGAGCAAACCTATTCAAACGAAACGAAAGAAGCGTTATAATTAAGTCTTGTTGAATGGTTGGCCCCACCATAAGCAATTCGTTGAATGACTGTCCTGATGTTGTTTACGCAGAGGCGTCAAAGACAACGCGAAGTTTTGTTGTTAAACTCTGCGGTCGCAAAATGCAATGATGAGGTATGTAAAAGTGAGGTTTCATTAAGTTGACATTTTGTGCGAGTGACATATGACCCAGTGAGATATACTCGTTCATGAACTCGGAGTATAGATTCTTGAGCTGTTCATCCCGGCCAAATCTTCTCTCGAGCATTTTGAAACGTTTGCTCGCGTTGTCAAATGAGTTGCCAAGAGCATTTGGCATTGTTTTAAAAGGAAGCCTTACGGCCGTCCTGTTGCACTCTTACTGTGTTGACGAAATGTTCTTCGCACATTTGTTCTTCGTCAGTAAATTTTGCTGGTTTAGTGATACAGTCTTCAACTTCCCAAAATTTTTTAACAAGTTGTTCAAGACTGCTAGCTTCTTGAACTACATTACACTGCTGCGCCTTACTGATATCAGCACTCCCAATACTTCCGCCAACAATCCACCCGTACGCAGAGTTAAGCAAGCAGGGCATATTTGGACCCAGGTTGTATTTACCTTCTCGCATTGCCTCAAAAAATCCCATAGTGTTGATCAAAATATCCACTTTGGTAGATAAATAAAATTGTGGATCAGCAAGAGTTATTCCAGGAGGTAAGCACCATTCTGAGGTGTCAATTGTTTCTTGAGGTTGGTTTGCGCAAATCTTTTTTATTACCGAAAATGTAGAAGACCACTCAAACTCTGAGCAGCGTGACTTTAACGTTGCAAATACGTTATGACTGATCTTTTGGCGTATACCTGCGATACCGCTCACTTCTTGTTGTACGCGACGCCTTTCAAGCTGCAACAGTTTTGCTGTTTCCTCTGTAATGAAACTAATTTCAGAACATGAATCTAATAATGCGCGAACTAAGTGTAGTTGACCAAATTTGTCTCTAATTTGGACTATTGCAGTTGGGATTATGCCCTTTTTAATAGTGCGTGACACCAACAAGGCGCTTGATTGGGGCATAGCATTATTCGAGTCTTGGACTTTTGATGGAGCGGTGGAAACGGGCATTCGTAAATTGGCACCTTGCGTAAAATTGTGTAGAAGTGTGTGATGAACTGATTGACAAATTTTGCATCTAGATTTTGATTGGCATTCTTTCATGCAGTGCGTCTTTCGTAGACAGTTGAAGCATATGCCAGCCTTGCGTACATAATCGATTCGTTGCTGCAAGGATAACTCCTTGAATTTATTGCAGCTGCTGATATAGTGCGACGGTGAGTTGCAATACACACAGTTCGCATTAGTGGTCACAAACGTCTTTGAAGTTGATGCCTGTTTAACCTTGGGCTTTGCGCCACGCTGATCTGACTGATGATCGCCTTGGCTCTCAAGATATTGACATCGACGGTTTAGAGTGTTGCAACAATCCTCCCATGAGGACAGTTTATCGAAACCTTGCTGCTCGTTGTACTTCGCTTTGGTTTGGGCGTCGACCTTCGAAAGCAGTATGTGTATCATTATGTTGTTCATGATTTCTTCGGCCGACCCTATGGAAAGAAGAGATCCACGTATAGCGGATGCATTATCGACGAGTTTCTGTAGCGTCGTCGCCTCGGGTTGTGTCATCGTTGGTAACGCAAAAAGACTTGAAATGCAATCTAAAAAGATGAGTACGTCGTTGTCGTATCGAGCGTCCAATCGTTCCAACGCCTTGGAGTAGTTATCTTCAGTTATCTGAAAGGACTGCACAACTTCTAGTGCGGGTCCAGACAAACAGTTCAATAAATAATTGAATTTATCTATTGTCGCAATGTATGGGTCATTGTGTATTAAGTTTGCAAACGTGCTTTTGAACCTTTTGAAGGTTGCATACTTGCCGTCAAAGCTTGGCAGCTTCAACTTAGGCAAACGGTTATGGTGTGCAGCTCCAGCAGTCATAGTAGTATTTATAAAGGAGCTTTCTGCCATGGGTGGTGCACTAGGACGACGCTTTGCTTGTAATAAAGCCATGATTTTCACCTTTGCGGCGATAAACAATTCTTCTTGTGATGCTCGTGCAGTGTCGGTGCTTTGCAAATTCTCAATCTGCGTTTGAATTTGGCATAATTGACGATAGTGCGAATCTAAAATTTGAAGTCTGCATTCGAGTACTCTTGCGTCCTCCTTGTCACCATCAGAATTTACCTTGTCGTGGAGATTAGTTATATGGCGCTCGAATACATTTCGTTGCGTTCTGAATAGAACTAGTTTTGCTTCTACTTTGGAGTGATCGTTGCCTGCACTGGCATGCGTAACCTCATCTTCCTCGCCCATATTTAATAAATGTTCAACAAACGAAATTACTAACTCTGTTAATTCGCTCCAGTTAAGCGACAACGGTGCGTAACGCAAGGCAAGACAAGAGAAGCGTTGACAAAGGTGCGAGAGTAAAAAATGCCGTTGATAATACAGATGTACGTATATATAAGCATATACTCACAAGTAAATAGACGAATTGACTATAATGTAAATGGTATGCAAATTTGTGGTATGTGTATACTTATACTTGCAATGTTATGTACTCAGTAGTGTGCACATAAATTTTCATTAGCACATGCTCCACCTATATACATATGTGACAGTACGGTACCTATGTATACGGTTGCTGGAACCCTTTGACCTTCACTTGCTCCAACGATTCCAGGCTTGGTTGCTGA